ATCGAACTTTCCTTCAAAAAAGTGGCGTGTATCTCCTCTTAGTGCTTTCAAGTGGCTTCATAAAATGGCTTGTAAAAGTAGCATGGATTCATGTAAAATAAGCTACGGGGAGTAAATATCATTGTTATGACATGATGTATGATAAATAATTGATGATGCAGTTGACCATTTATGCTTGATCTCGGGCGAGCTGAGAGTAGGGTGAATATTTTTACGGCTGTCAACCAAGCTGATCGTAGCATAAAAATGTTGACCAAACCACGGGAAGGTTGCGTGAATCAGGCAGCAGACCTGACAGTATGGAACTGAATGAAATCTACACTTTCCTGCATGCCAATATCTTTATCCAACCTACGACTCTAACTTGTGATGGTTTTTAATGGCAAACTGAACTAAAATAGCAGGAAACAAGAACGCAGTGCACCAAGAATATCATGAAACACTATCTCCTGCCTCACTATATTTTGCGACATCCTACCATGTCTCTGAACCACGACATGCAATGGGCAACACCATATTTATTCATCGCGACGTGGTTGTGCAAAGCATGTTTCCCACATCGGAATAAAACATTAGTATTTACCCCGTCCATTTAGTTTAGGTGTAGACAGTTAAGTTTGGTGCCAGTGTGCAGAATTTTTCTTTAAATTGTCCCCACTCTCTATTCCGTTAAGATAACGTTTTCAACAACTCCACTTGAGAACGACATCTTCCTTATAAGCTGATTTCTAGACAGGTGCTCTGGTATACTTCCCCGTCCAAGTTTATGGCTGACCCATTTTACCGAACTGTATATGCCCTGATCATATCCTCCCGCGCAGCCTTTTATTCATATCTCGAGTGTGGCCTGCTGCTTGCTTTCTTTGTTCCTTCTTCAGGTCTGACGAGTCTACCCCTCATTTATATAGGGTCCTGTTAGTCTCGTTAGTCCGGTGCATGTAACAACATCTAAACTTCGAAGGAAATGCTTACTCTTCAGAGTCGGATGTGTGTTGCCCTCCCTACTGCATGTAACTTTTCAGTATTCAGGCGTCCGCTAAAAAATTCACAACTCTGAAACTGATTCATTGATACTACTGGACTATGGTGATGGTGTCTTTCTCCTTTAGTCGTTTTTTGTCTGGGAAACAAGGACGTCTCACTTCTGACTTATTTTCTATGTGCCTGAGACGATGACCCTTTATGTTTTGCTTGTTATTGGTTAAAACTACGAATTGCTACTACGAAGCCGATTAAACCTTTAAAGTTGGGATGTTTCCACGTAACTACGTTGCATGAGAAATGTGCGGTATTTTTAAAGGTAGATCATCATTACAACCAAGCTCAATGTTTACCATTCAGTCAGTGTACCAGCTTTGTTCCGTGAACATTGCGAACTTTACCAATAGTCCTGATAACCTAAACAGCCTTAGGGATGAGAAAGATGGGTCTCTGCGGGGAAACGTCTTCATCAAACTTAAGCTAGACCATTTTAGGCCAGATACACAACTGGACCCTCACCCGGAATTGATCCGGTGAGGAGCTCCAACTATTAGGGCTTACGTCCGTCAGCTCAGGTGGTGTCGGATGTGTCCTGTTCCCATCCCACTTGCAGAAAGCTGAAAACTATGAGACATCCCACAGTGCCAGAGAATGACTATAAAGAAACTCTCAGAAGATAGTCACGGGGTCTACTTTGCAGGTAAGAACGTGATAATGCAGGAATATGCAGAAACCCACGCACCAATGAAATATTCAGCGATTTCTTTAGGGAGGCCACGTACTTTACGGAATGTTAACGCACAGCACCACACGAACGCCGAAAGCGGATGAAAACCCAAAACTCAGAAGACAACACTCCCATTAAAGCGATTCTGGGCAAGCGGACATCATTTTCAACCTGAACTCTACATGCCTCTCGATAGGCTACGAGAAGATTGACTGCAATGAAAACGGAAAAGACCCAAGCCAACTGCACCTCTGGCGAACTGGCAAACGCAAAAACAGAGGAAGGGAGGAGAGTATTTGACCCGGTGGACGATACCCAGGCAAGTTCCCATCCCTATGCTTAAGGATTCAGCCAACAAACTATGCAGCGATAGGCTTTCAGCAAGTGAATTTGAGGTAGGACGAGAGAATGGTAACCATTCTATAGTAAAACGTTTGCCTTATAGACAAATGGACCACTGAAACTAAGTAGATGCACTAAAACTCGTCTTGTGGATATCCTGAGACACGGATTTATACCCGCCTTTCGGATCGGGGACCGACTGGTTCTGACACTGCGCTGCTCTGGAACAACAAAGGAGCGGCAGAGACCAGGGTAATGGTTCACGCCACTGCTTTTATAGCTCACCAAATCCGATTTCATGGGCTGGAATGTCTTAAGGAGCCTGCCCAGTCCAGTATGACCAACAGACGTTGAAAGGAATCAGTCACTCTTTCACAATGGGCACATGTATTCTTATATGGAGAGGGTTTCACCTGTCTAAGGTGTGTTCAGTGGAACGTTCAACCAGTAGAAGTTATGGCTTAAGTCAAACCTGAATAGTCAGCCTAGCCGTTGGTCTTGGACTGATGAAAAAAGTAGGATATCCAAACCACACCTTGCTTAGGCTGTATGTTCACAAACGAAAAGCTCTGGACAAATGGCCCTACGGGCCTCTCTGCTTCAGGTAGAAGTGTTCATTTTGCAATCGACAACCGCCACGTCGATAAAACAGAACCTGCCAGATAATCCGGCGAACGTCGTTAGAACTCATGGTGACTGAGTGTCCCGACTCTTCAAATGGTACTAGAAACTGCATTGTGAATTCAGTCATGTATGGCAGAATGTGGAAGCATGTTGAAGATCCGCACCGGACGAAATTATGTACACCGGCAGCCCGCCTGTTCAACCCTCGGCTCTAAGTTGCCCCAAGTTACCTGGGATGGTGGGAACACCTAATCAGGTTGAAAAGGCGCCAATGGGCCGAGGATAAAAGGCTTGGTGACCAACGCACATATGGACCACACAGGCAGACCAGGAACACAGTCGCACAAAGTTACTGGTGTCTACCAGGTAACAACACAACTTTAGATTTCCAGGTATGTTTGTTTCTAGCCCAGGAGGAGTGCTCTAAGAAACCTCCAGGTTCCTACAGGCCAGACCAGAAGTCTGACACCTCGATAAGGCCCAAATGGCAGACTAATGGTGATACTGCGGCGGGGAAATCCCGCGTCGATCAGTACTCGAATATCTCTTGATCGACAGCTACCTGCTCAGAAGTTTGGGAATATCCCATCAACCGAGTAGGAATCCATTCCGTTGACTTAGGTGTTGAGTCGGCACACCGCAGCTTGCGACTGCCCACAAACGCTACTTCTCCGGGACTGGAAAAATGGATCTGGTTGTTCTACGGAGAAGAGAAATAATTTAGGACGAACCTTTGAGTAAATTATTTAGTGATTCGCCAAATCCTTACATAACGCCAGTCTTCAAAAGAAGCCAGAGAAACAACCAATGGCTATCCCATCAATACCTTTTCCCAAAGCGGCTGATTGGGTCGATCGCGACTGCCTTATTGATAAGCTTAAGTTATCTGGAGTCAAACGACAGCTCATAGCTTGGTTGTCTATATGTCCATGTGGTAGTTTATGTTGAGTTAATTTTTTGCTAACAAAAGAAATAAGATTTCTCGATGAATTTCCCAAGGCTCAGCACTCGAATCTCTTTTTTCCAGTGAGCATAAACAAGTTGTCCCGCGGAACCTCCTCTGAACTCCTTAAAACATCGATTGATGGGGAACTGCGAAAGGAGATGGCAAGTTAGAGTAATCAAGAAAATCAATACTGTTCATCCGGAGAGCAACAGGCTGTTGTCCGTTCACAGCATGGCTTTCGTGGAAGTTTCTCCCACTTTGCGAACCTTCCAACTGTCAGAGGAGGTAGGGTTTAGTCTAAGGATTGTGGGATACCTGTAGGTGTCATTTTCACAGGCTTCAGTAAGGCGTTTGATAAGTTGCCTAGTTCCAGGTTGCTCGGGAATGTAGAGAATCTCGAAATCACTGGCAGTCAATTTTCTTGGATCAGACTTTCTTGTTGGCAGAGGGCGAAGGGGCAAGATCGATTCCCAACTCTCCCCTTGGAAGTCGGTAGAGAGTGGAGTACCCAAGGCACAGTTCTAGGCCCCGCGCAGTTTTTCCAACCCACAAGTGGGCTGCTAAACACTACGAAATCCCTGTGGTTTTCTGCGCCGATGATGTGAAAATCCGGTGAGAAACTAGGGGTGATGAGGAAGGGCCAATCTAAGCAGCTTGGTTATCCGGCCGACGAGAGGGCTGATGCCCATCAACTGAAGCGAGTGTGTGAACATGCATATATGTCACACAGATGGGGTGGCTGACCTGACCTTCGAAGATCGGCTTAAGGGGTGGAACCTTGTCCTACCTCCTTATTACAGATGGAATCAGTATCTAATCGCGCTATGCGGAACACTAAGAAATGATTTTGGGCTTGAACTATCCTATCTTTCCTTTCCCACTAGAACGAGACACTTCAGATGACAGCAGGAGAATATGAAAGCAAAGGGCGGACGTAGTCTCCGAAGAATAGTGGTACTCAATTCGAGTAATCAAGTCACGGAACCGACTACAGGGAGAAGTAGTGATGGGGTACCAGATCATAAACATTCATGGACCTTTAGCTTCGTCACTCATTTAACTTCAGACCCCAAAGGATACAGAAAAAGGAACATTTCAAGGGAGATGTCAACGGCAACTTCTACTCCACAGAACTCACTTAATCTCAGAATGATTTTCCGAGCTGCTTAGTATGAATCCTTCAAAAGCTTAGTTGTCGCCTACTGATGGTGTTTGCGAGAGTTAATTCAAAACTTGGTTTTCCTGTTTAACCATTACCTTTTTCTCTCTCTTTATGTTTTAAAGACAAGCAACCACAGAATATTGTACTTTATCGTCGTAGATGTTAAAGCCAGTAGTTGGAAGATTCTTCTTCAGTAGCAACTGTTTGGAACCCTTTTTGTTTGATGCATCTGAATGCCAAGGTAATGACCCTTTTGTGGCTTTTCAAGGTGGTAATTTGAAAACACTGGTGTGAAGCTTTTGGTTTTGCTCCTCATCAGATTACCTTTTCCAGTAAGCTTATGAGTTTGAAATCGTTTGTATTTTTGCCTTCCATACACTATACTCACATGAGATGACCAGGTTTAGTTCAAGTTCACACTTAACCGCACAGATTTTTATGCAAATCACGACAGTATACTGTTGCACACCAAAAACATTCTGGTTGATCAGTGAATGATTAAAGTTTCAGTTTTCATGTAAAAATATTTTAATGGTGGATTAAACACCAACGGTTGCGTAAATCTCTCGTCTGTTCATTGTGAATTCTTATGCGTCCGACATACGCCTCACGAGTGCCTGCAGACACTTGTCAATATTTATGGGCTTGACAGCTTAAAGTACAACTAGGGTTGGATATCAAGGGACCTCAAAATCTTCCTAATGTTCTCCGAAGGTCATTAAGTCCTAACAATTGTTGCTTAAAACTAAAATTGCGTTTGCTTTTACAATTTCCAACAAATTTGGGAGGCTTCTCTAAACTTCCAATATTATAGTTTGAGTATTCATGGTGTGCTTAAAATATTCATTTGGCCGTCAAATATGGGGTCTACATAATTTCCGACAAACTCAAAGCTGCGTGCAAGTTATTCACTTTCCACCTCATGCTTAAAAATTTAAATCATCTCGCATACTGTTGCGATCCAACACTAACCCATCTAAGAAATCGAAGTCTTAGGCTCATGAGATCGTCCATAGAAATATTTATTGTGGTTTTTTTGTTTCTGGATATGCGAGAAAACGTTTCTTGTGTCCTTGTTAGTGGTCTTAAGGAAGCCATAAGTAGTTGTGCACATGCGGAAAGTAATAGTTCTTATCATGTGAGAGAAAATTTCAGTTCTAGCGTGTCTTTGCACCATTGGTGACTTCCTAAACTATTTCGACACGTGAACAATGGTCAAAGTAAACCCTTACGTAGATAACCATTACAAAAAATCATACCTGTCCCTACACTAGATTTGACTTTGAAATATCGCTAAAAAATTCTTTTCCAGAGGTGCACATGGAAAGTTGACAACTTCAAAGGTTCATAAATTTTTGTCCGCCTTCTACTGTCGTGGCTCTGTGTTTGCATCTTTTCTATTACATCGTTTGCACCTTTTTTGATCAGCATGAACCAAATTATGTTATTCTAGGGGTTATAAGATACAATTTCTGGTTTTGTATCAAGGTCAAGCTGAGCAATAGGCTTAATTTACGAATAACATTGATTCTTTTTGAGATTATACATATATATAATGCTCTGAAACTTGGGTTATGACCTAATGTTATTCCTGGCTTATATCTGCTGGCATCATACTTCAGTGGACGATATTTAACAAGGCCGATAATTATTAAGGAGTACAATTATGTCAACATGGATAGCAGAATATTTTTAGGAGATTGTTAGTCATCCAAACTGTGGTAAAGATGTAATTACTGCAAATCGTTTCCCGAGCTTTAATGATAATAATGCTTTCTAAAGTGTTGGTTAGTTTAAACATGGCAATTTTGAAATTCTGTTTATTCCCACGTTTAGCCAATAAAAAGGCCAACGTTTGGATGTGAAAGTGAATGCATTGAAACGAAAACAAGTCCTAGGGACTTGACCGTCTTCAAATGAACAGGTTTCATGAAAAAAATGGAAGTGATAACCAGAAATCCATTTATAAGTCTGTTCAATCCAGCTGCGGTCAGTTCTCAAACTTATCGATGGATAAAGATATAGATGACCGGGAGATTTGTGCTAACATAGATCCAATGGACAGAAAATCGTCTGGGAGGTCATGGACAAGAAGTAAGCGGATATCAGTAAGTGAAAGCTCATTTTCGTTTTTACATAAGAATTGTGACTCACATGTATTCCAGTCTTCCTCAGACTTTTGGAGCAGTTGTAAAAATGAAAATAAATTCACTTAACAACCACATGCTCACTTGTGCAGTAGGCAGTGAGCCGCACCTATTACATCAGGGCTGCCAAGACCTCGGTAGGCAGAGTAGAGTCCGGACCCACGACCCATGTAGTTGAAGGTCGACTGCCTAAACCAGTGAGCCACAGCACCACATCTGCACCAACTGAACAGCTAAGAACGTATTAGAGACCAATATGAACAGTTACTGATAACAGAACAAAATGTGGTCAAGTACCTCTCATTATTGAATCAAATCACTTTTATGTTCGAAATATCTATAGATTTTCTTCGTGATTTATTAACCCTGGATTACTTTAAAGTTGTTTACCCGTGGAATTAGTTTTATGGTTTATTTTACAAAATATTTGATATTGTTTTATAAAATTGAATCCATGGTGATGCAAAGATTGAAACGATTCTTAATATTGCATAAAGTTGTCAATGTATGGTATTTGTTTAATAAGCTTAGTAGATTTCCTCATTTAAGAGAAAGTACGGTGTTTTAGATTAACTAAAAATGACAAGTAGCTTATTTGAAGCTACTTCGGCTGGCGCTATTTTTGTCGACTGGTGTATTTGCAATATAATTTTCCTGTTTGTCGACCAAGGTTAGAGACTTCACTGTAAGAAGTACCTGATATTTTCATATTTTGTCTAAAATAAAAGCTTCATTTATATTGAATAGTTTTGTGGTTTTTTCCGAACACATTATTTTTGTTGATTTAGAATCAATGGTATCCTAATGTCTTGGGATGAAGTTATCAAAACTTACGTCCAATTAAATCATATTGTACTTTACTAAGTTTAGTGGTGTGCCGTTTATAATCATCCACATTTGTAGATATACTGATGTTCCACCAAATACAATAAATCATGACTTATTAACTTCAAAATATGTTTATTATGTGGCTTGTGAATATATTTTTAGCTTCATTGTGTTTTCATTGAGGATTGATGTTGGTTTGTGATTTATTGGAAATCAGGTTAAGGTTGGAAATTGTGTGTTTTATTTAGTTTTTCGTAGTACTGCTTTCTTTCGATGACACAGACATATTCACAATCCAAAGCCTCATTAATCTTAGCGTGTATGTACATCTCTTTCGAATCAAATTCCACCTACGTTCAATATTTTATTCGCAGGATTGGTTAGGCGATCTTACTATTGCATGAAACAACTTCCAACATCATAAATAAGTTCATGTTATACGTAATCTAGATAATACTTCGTGCACATCATACCTCTCACTCGACTTACCACAGTGTTATCTGTAGAGCAGTGCTTTATATGAAAATTAATCACCTTTCAGAGTTATATTTCATCTCAATTCAACCTAAGTCGCTTATGAATTGACGAAAAGTACCGGACTCTATCGACGTTTCATCTTATCATAAAACCAGGTGGGAGTTTACTCTATCGAATCCTAAGTACCATGTTCCGTAAGTTTAAAAGTGGATTAGTACACTCCCTTAAATACTAAGTCTCTCCGTTCTGAACTGATTGACGCTGGAAGTTTAAGGCTTTATGAAGGCAATTCAATATCTCGCGTATTCGTCTTGGAGCATGTATAGAACTGCAAAACAGTCATTGACACGTGTCGAGATATCGTAAAGTAGGATGAATTTATCTATTAGTATCTAACACAAAGTGTGATGGAAACAAATTCCAAAGCTGTTGTAAATTCTCAACTCACTCAACCTATAACTCTTATCGTCAGCTCTTTTCAAGCCTTTATACTAGACATGCATTGGTTTGATGTACGTTTCCTTTAGATTCGTTACGTCTTCATCATTCAAAATCGATCTAATCTACACAGATATTTTCACTAATCTTTGTACGTGTTTGGATGCAACTCTGAAAACATATCCAAGTTCTTGTATTGACTCACGAGTCACACCTATTGTTTGATGACTAATAATACTAGTTGGTTCTTTGAAATTAAGCGGGTGGGATATATTTTGAACTCGTTATTCATTGGTTGAAGGTCAAATCCTCAATGCAATAAGCCGCAACTTTAAACCTATTTCCATCTGTCTATCCCCCCTATTGTTTTGTTCTATTTGACCAGGTTTTGAAATTTTCTCTGAACGTACACTTAAATCTCAATTTAAATTAATGGGTTAGTATCACTTGGACATATTTCTTTAGAAAACATCTTGTCGCTGAACTAGGCCACTTCATTGCCCACTTTTATAAAACAATATTGATTGATTAAGATTCGAGCAGAATGATGATTAATTAATTTAAGGAAAGGATACTATGCGATATGACCAAGTAATGTGTTCATAAGATGAAAGTTATTTACTGACTGCATTCAAGTCATGACTGCCTCCAACAGACAAGTTGAGTGATGATTGAGAAGCCTGGCTGTTCACTCAGTATTATTTACTTAATAAAGAGGATAATGGTGAAATACAGTTATATGGAAACTAGTATAATATAGCTAGATGAAATCCAGGAGTTGATCAGAGGCAAAAATAAGGACAACTAGGTTAGACCATCTTTCTGTCCACTGTCATCTTCAGTGGAGTTCACTCCTAGCAGTAGTTATTGGGTACTTTTTCATTATACCAGCTATCATTGTTACTTTTCCATACTTCATTCGTTCTAAACTAGATATTTCTGCTGTAGTGCGTACTAAGTATCATTGTTAATCTACGCAGATAACTATGGTGAATAAGTAGTGTGTTAAAGTAAATTCTTTAAGATATAATAACAATGCTCCGTGAGCTTCTGCTTTAGCAACTGTAACCTATGCACTCAAATCTAAGCTTTAGTTTAGAAATATTAGAAGTAATTTACAACAGCTTGAGTTTCATGCACAGAGAGCTTATTTTCCGTTTTTTTAGCATCAAACTTATTTCTGATTTTCGCTTATGCCTTAATATTTAAAGGGTTAGGTGTTAAACATAAATGTGTTAAAAACTGATCGTTTCCATGTTATATCTCATATGTTATATACATAACTTACTCTCACTTACTTCATTCATTCATTTTTGTCCATCATATCGCTATACTGATGAAATACTCATTCAATGTTTGTCCAGCTCTCAATAAAAACGTAGTTATTGTTGACTTGTTTTTAAAAAAACTATGTTACGATTATGTTTAAGCGTATTTGTAAATAAAGTGCATATTATTTTAACTGCTTATTGTATCGTTCATGATGTAGTACATTTTTTTCCGGTATACTTTTTGTTTATCTGATTTCGTCAGTCGATAATATAATGCAGTATTACATTCAGTTTTAAGGCGAAAGTATTTGTTCAAATGATTCATATATGAGACATAATTTGTATTTCTAAATACTTTTTCATGAGTGATTTCACAGCATATTTGATCATTCGATGCTTACACTAAGCTGTTAATTGCTAAATTGAGGGTTTGAACCGGTACAACTTACTTTCACCAGTAGGCGCAGGTGACCGTTGTTCACACTATGCATTAAATGTTCTTTTGCAGCCTGACATTTGAATCTCAACTTAGTTATCCACCTACATCTGCTTTATCATTTTAAATATGGATTGACAAGTTGATGGTTGTCACTTGAGCACCTACTGTAGCTCTTTGATATATTAGTTGTAACTGCTGGTTTGAAGTTTACACCCTTGGTTATACATTCCCAGCTAAGTTGAGGGTGTTTCCAGTTGGTCTGTTCCAGAGAAATTTTCTTCATATTCAAAATGTCTTGTTGTACGAGTTATAATTTCTGACAAAATTTTGTAGGATATGCCTCAATTAATGATTGAAGTTTTTTATACTAGGGGCCTGAATTGATGAATGTACATGGGCTATAGTCAAAGTTAAAAGTGCTATTTAACTCAGTAGAATACATAATCAGCTGGTCATGTGACGATAATTATGTTGTGAGCCAAAAGTGGGACTTCTTCCGCGGTTAAATCCAAACTTTGAAGTAGTTCTCTCAGTAGCGTTCATCGGTGAAATCTTTCCTTTAATAAAGTGGTTTTTTATGGGCTTGCTTCTGACTGTTTTGTTGATAGATATTCCCTACTTAGCCTGCTGATGTATCTTCACCAAAAGAAAATGAAAGTCTACAAAAGTTTAACCGTTAGACTGTCATTAACGGAAACTTGAACTCTGAGCGAAAAGAATTAAAAATGAATGTATAGTGCTTTCAGTGATGAGCGGATACACTCAACTAAACTCAAAAAGCACCTATGGTCCCTGTATGCAGTTACTACCCTCACTTATGTTGAAGTGGCGAAGTGTTCGAAAGTTGAATATCTAGGTCAGTGAGTGATCTGCTGCTTCTTATACACACAGATACACATACTACTAACACAAATAAAGGGAGCAGTTGATTGTCTAACAATAAAGGAATGGGAATCACAAAACAAACTAGAAATTAACACTATCCATAGAGTGGGTGAAATTTAAAGTGTGTAAGAGTTTGTTGTTTTCTTTTCTATTGAGTAAAATATGTTTTATTGAGACCTTTAAAATTTATTCCTTTGTTTCTTTTTTGAATTTAAAATACAGGTATATGTGTACATATTAGATTTCTAAAAATCACTTGAATCTAATTATATGGTTAGTGAACAGGTGTTTGATTTTTTAACAATGCTAGTTTTTGTATATATATTTATATCACCAATCAGATTGGAATTAATGACAAATTGATGCATAATTCAAGATATTATCTTTCTAGTTATCAGTCTGGAATAATCGACTCTATTGTTATTGTAATTGTTGATAATACTCTAATCACTTTTCAGCTGTGAGTATACACCATTTCTGTTTAAAAGCTTCAAAGACATGACTGTTAGGTGGGGTAGATAAACACCGTAAATTGTACATTTCAAGCAAATCCTCCTAATGTTTTATTTAGTTTCATTCGGAATCTCAAGGGTAATATAATAACTTAAGTCTCTACCCCACGC